TGCCAAAAGTAAACATGCTTGGGGGCGGTGTCACAACCCTGCTGCTTATTGCACACACATCATTTTAAGCATGAAAAAAGAATAGTGTGTTACAAAGATTGAGACTTAAGCATTAACTCATCAAAGCATTGACCACACGTCCACACTCAGTATCTTGATCCATGCTTCTAAAAAACCTATCAAGACCATTTAAATTCATTGACAACCCAATTTAAAGTGTAAAAATTAGTAAACTCCATCAAGCATAAAAACATATTAGCAAAAAGGGAGAATCAACTCACAAAATCGTGAATATGAATAAAGAAGATCATTGAAGCATTTCAACAAACACCTTATGAGCATAACAATGAAATAGAATAGTTGAACAAAAAATCAACTGAAATGTGAATCTTTACCATGTAAAACAAACTTAGAACACAATAAAGATTATAATGAAGTGAATCTTTATTTACGCATTTTGCATGAACCATAAGTAAGTTTACGCATTTCAAATACAAGTACATTTACGCTGAGGCAGTGGTAGATTTACGCACAGACATAAGTACATATACCCACAGACATAAGTATATTTACACACAGACATTTCAAATATAAGTTTATTTACACACAGACATAAGTAAATTTTATAACATTTTGAACACAAACAAGATTATATACACTTCACAAACACACAGACGATATTATACACTACACAAATATAGAGAATTGTCTGTGAAGAACAAAGATATATTTATGTTGAAAGCCAATGAAATCAACAACACAAACTCATACCAAGCTTAGGGACTTCGTCCATGGCCGCTGGCGTCGCCGGTTCTCCGTCAAGTTCAGCCGACGCCATCGGTTCTCCATCAAACTCAGCCGCCGCCACCGGTTCTCCATCAAGTTCAGCTGCCGCCTCCAGTACTCCGTCAAGTTCAGCCACCACAGGAATATCTCCTTCAGCTCGAGAACCACCTCTTGTTTCAGCCCATTGATTTTGAAGAGAAGAAGAAAGAAAGAAAGTTGGGGGTTGTATGCATTGAGCTGCTGTGGGAAGAAGAAAAAAAGAAGGAAGCTAGCGGGAAGAGAGGAGAGAGTCTTGGGGGTGAGTGGGCTGTTTCACACGTGAGAGGGAGGGGAGGGGGTAAAAAATGGTAATTTTTGGGTTATTTATAGTGTGTATGTGTGTCTATGAAAAGTGTGTACCCAAAGCAAAATTATTTCCCTCTTAGAAATTAGAATCCTCAAGTGTTGACTAGTCTACATATCCTTCTCAGAGGATTTGTGCGTAGATCTGTTTTTTAGATCTCTACCATTGTCAGCGTGATGGCTGCACCCAGGAGCGTTGTGACCTGCGACCGACATCTGGCGGTACATGACCGGCGATCCACGACTGACCTTTGACGGAACATAACCGGCGAGCGACGAGGAAGGGGAGCGATCTGCTTGTCGTCGGACTAGTTAGACCTGGATGAGCTGAGTCCCAGCTTCGATTTTGGCATGGACCACGGTAGTGACGGCTATAAAGTGAAGCGGCAACATCTACGAGATCTGCAGCTATTGCGGCGAGAACTAAGTCGGCGGCAGCACGGTCTGCAGCTATCGCAGCAAACTTCAGCCAATTGCACACGCCTGTGACTACAATTCCGGATCGGATCTGGAACAAAGACGACGACCTGCTGGCGATATCCCAACGTCAGTGGCGAGGACTGAGCCAGCGGTATACACCTCAGCGCACAGAAGCGGTTATGACCTTCTGGAGTAGCGGCATCTTCTTCATACCACGGTGCCTGAGGAACTCCGTTTCTGCAGTGACGAACAGTCCGATCGGCGCCGTCATCTCTGGAAATGGCAATTTTTTGTGTGTATTTTCTGATTGTTTTTTTACTGATTTTCTGTGATTTGAGTGATCTTTTTGTTGTTTTTGGGAGGTTTTCTCACTTGATTGTGTTCAAACCTCTCAACGAGAGCACCATTTGATGGATAATCGATACTCATATTGTATAAATTAGGAGAGATGATCAAAGAATTGAGAATGAGATAAGTATATATGAGTGTGAGATTGTGACTTAGGGTTACAAGGCTCCTATAAGGAGTATATACAGGGAAATCCGGGTCTGGACCTCTAATATGGGCCAACATACCCGGTTACATAAATGGAATAATAGTATAAAAAGCTAATCTAGTACATACAATGAATATGTAAACTATACAGTAATATAAATGTTGTCTGCTGGTGTACTTGGATCGCTATCCAGGCCCAATAGTCGACAGGCCGGGGGTCGGGGTCCATATACTCCATCAAATAGGTTCAGTTCTTGAAAGAAAATTAGGAACCATTTCAAGAACCGTTATTCCCATATCGATTCGGTTATATAAGTTTTTAGAAGACCCGATATAAGAATCGATAGTGATACATCGATGCAATTGTGATACGTTGTCAGTTAAACATTAAGAAATGATTTACGGTAGGACTAAAACATACAGAGCAACATTTTTCTCAAAGTATGATCATATGTATGATTTTCTTTAAATAGGACTAAATTTTACATTTCTACCCCTAATTTAATTAATTAATACTTTGTATAATTAATTGCCCCAAGTTCCTTTGCATAACCAAAATCATTTTATTGGTGGCGGATCAGTCCGATGACGATGGCGACGAACTCCGGTGACAGAGACGGATAGGCAGATTGTTATCGGCGATCTAGGTGAAAATTCTGACGATCCAACAACGACGGTCCAGATTTAAAAGTCTATGTAATTTTTGAGAGTCTATAAACTTATCCATTTGTTTAAAAGTCAATAGAATTCATTCATAAAAAAAGTCTATGGATTTAACAAATGAGCAATGGGACCACATATAGCAAACTGATTGCAAATTAGCAAACTGAAAGGCAAAATTCTTCTCTCTCATTTGTTGGCCACATCACGCCTCTGATTTTCTAACAAATGAGAGTGCTTAATTGAGGAGGGGAGGATACACACACATGTATAAGTTGAAGAGGGTTTGATAGAATCAATGGACCGTTAAAAGGAAGAGTTGTTTTCCAGCGATGCCATGGATTATGGCATCCAGTGTTTCTCACTTTCTCCTTCTCCATGTTTGGCGGGCTTCGGAGAACCAGGTTCGTAGCTTCGTGGAATCATTCAAGATCTACTGTTGAGGGATTTGAAGTAGCAGGCAAAGGATTACTCGACGGAGCAAAAGAGCAAGGAGTCGAGAAGACATGCTTCGTACTCCGTATAAAAGAACAAAATTAAATGGAAAAGAAAAGAAAATATAGGTGGATGTTGACAAAGTCTCAAGTGCCAGCAACCCATCTGAACTGATGAATATGTACATGTCACTATATGACCTGATAAACCGGAGGTTAACCTACAAAATGGAAGAATTGATTGTTTTTAATAAGTTGGAGGGTTTGATTGGGTGATTTTGAGGTATAATAAGGGCTTAATTGCCGTTTTGCCATTGTAAGAATTGACTGTTTTTAATAAGTTCACTCCCTGTTTTTTTTACAATCAAAAGTTTGAACAACCATAAATAAGCACACTGAATTTATACATACATATTATCCGTTCCTATTATATCTTCCAACTTTCATTTTTCATCCGTTCCAATTAAACTTCCACTTTCCCCTTTTGGTCAAGAATTTGTGGTTCACAAACATTTCTTACACATTTCTCTCTCCTCTGCACAACTATCCACCACACAATACCTACTTTTCTTAAATTGTGTGCCCATGAGAAACGGAAGATAAAATGGGAACGGAGGAGGGAGTGGTATGTTTTTCAAAATTTCAAGCGTTCAAGAGAACACTTTTGATATATGGTGGCTCCGCCACTGGTCTCAACTCACTCACCCAACAAAATTGTGATATAAAAATATATGCATAAATATTTATAAGCAGTAAAACTTATATTGAAATTTTAAAGTTTAACTTCTAAATACAAACTTTTTAAACCTCAACCCCTAACATAGCATTTGTTGATCCCCCACTAAGGCATCCCATCCCGATTTCGAGTAATAAATCAGGCACTCCTAAGAACTTCTTCCCATTTTAGAGAAGTAATGGGGTGTGACAACTATCCTCCAAAGTCTCCAAGGTTATACCAAGTAGGGGTGGGCGAAAAAAATCGTAATCGATTAACCGCGGTAAATAACCGAAAAACCGGTGTTTGTTTTGGTTAACCATACCGTGTTTTTTAAATCTTGCGGGACGGTTAATCAACCGGTAGAAAAAACGTTTTACTATACGGTTACGGTTTTGAAATTAGATACCGCCGGTTAACCGCTAATCCAAAGTTAATATATTGCTCCCAAATTCATACATACATTTTGCTTATTTATCCAATGTGAGTTCATAAAACTCCATGTATTCAATATTAACTCCTTGTCCATATTTATTTACAAATTTACGGAGTATATATATGGTATTGCATCTTAGATTTAATACTTATTTTTATTTTCGGATTTTATATTTAAAATTTCATTTTAGATTCAAAGAATATGGTATTGCATCTTACAGGAAATTTTCTCAACATTCTGAAACGTATGTTTCAAATCTATCTTTTTTAGTTATACACTACGAGACAGTACGAGTACATATTGAATCACAGTTCAAGCATATTACGTACTCCGTATAAATTATTTGTAATACGTACTCCGTATGTAGTATTATATATTGTAGTAAACTTCCAGTTGGTAAAAAAGTTATTCTGAAAACCACAATACTGCATATACGTAATTTACTACGTCTGTAACGTAATTTAGTATAAGGCGTGATTCATACGGCAATATTAAAACGAACCTAGTTAGTAGTTTATTCATATACTTTGTATATACGGTTTTTTGGTTAACCGATTAACGGTTAACCTATGAGATGGTTAATTGTTACCCGGTTAACCGTCATTATGGTACGGTTAATGGTATCATAAACATATCTATATCTATATATATATTAATTGAGTTAAGTGGGTTTCCCGCTCACTCTCATGGGCATTCTCGTAACTCCGCTTAATTTCTATTAATCACAGCTAATGCGTAGACGTTTCTTACGTTTGACTCTCTTTCGCTTTTCACTCTCTTATGCTTCTTTCATCTCTTCTTCTGGACGGATTCTAACACATCTGGTATGTCTTCTTAGGATCTGTTCTTTATCTCGCACGTTTGGGCACGCCTTCCTACTCCATCCGGAGCATTACGTTTTCTTAATCAGAAACCTGGTATTCTTTATGCTATTTCACACGTATTTTGACTTCCTTAAGGGTCACGACTCTATTCTATCTTTGAGTTGAGGTTTTGAGTTTACAGAGTTCAAATTCTATTGCCCTGCTCGGAGACCTCATCTCAGTGGGTCTTCTCAGGTTAGTATTATCTCCCAAATCTAATATTTATATTTATTTGTGACATTATGTATCTATCATCTGAAAATTTTATCTGAAGTTTCTTCTAAAACCCTAGATTTAAATTCCATCTTATATTATATCGGAATCCATCATATCTCTGATGGGTGCAAATACTTCCGTGAACGGTAGTAAAACCAGCTAGATATGGTCCCTTTAGAAAACCTATGCAACCATGCTATTTTTTGTGTTGCTTTTGGAGTAGATTATAAGGGCTAGCTTGCTGCTCTCTATATTTGCATTCGAACGATTGGTGTTCTTGAAATCCAGGTGAAGTGTCTTTTTTCTCACCGACTGGCGACTTGCAATGGTTTTTGGTAATAGATGCTCGTATATGTAATTGTTTCAACATTTAATTTGTGGTTGATAAATAAGATTGGGTGAACTTAAACTTAAGAAGTTTGAAGAGAGAATAAATCACCAAAAAAGGCTCAATTTCACCAACTCGATTGTGAATTAGTAAGATCGTAATGTGAGTTTGAATTCGTTAGATATAATGATTTCTCTCTCAAAGATATAAATCACCAAAAAAGGCTCAATTTCACCAACTCAAAGTTTTAATACACACTGCACATGTAATATAGTTAAACTCTTATTTTTCTTAATTCTTGATAGTAGTATATTAAAAATCCCCACTGAAAATACTAAATTTATTTGAACATGAAGAGGTTCAGCCATGAGGATAAATGTGAAAACAAAGTTATAGTAAAAGCAGTCTCTCTTAGCTTCACACGTTGCTTATGAAGTGGGTGAGTATCAAGGCTTGACAGTAGGTGTCCTGCAAATTCAGTGAACAAGAAATCTGTTTAATGCAATAGCATTCTATCTAATGCAATATACAACATATCTGCATATGCTTTTTATGAGTTCTCCATTAAATAAATACAAAAAAAAAAGATATTTAGTTTATATGAGCCTTTATTAAGATTTTTTCTGTTTTTGTATTTGTTCTGCATTTTTCTCTCCGATATCGAGATATTAGTTCTATTTTAGGTTAGCTTGAAAACTGATTTTTTAACAGCTTTAGCAATACAGATTCTTCCCATTTATGTCAATTATATGCAAGTCGGGTTGTTTGTTTTGTTATTTGAACTAGGACATCTTTGACTCAACCGATCCATGGAATGCAATAAAGTTACCTCATATCTGAAATTGACAATAAGTTCACTCGAGAGTGGAGTTTCTTGCTGTCTATAGCACTCCCAACATTGAGTTGAAGTGTGAGGCTTATCCCATGACTTTTGATGACAGAAAGTGTGATTTGAATGGTATGTTTGTTTTAAAACACTATAGGTTGTCTATACGTTTCTAACAACTATAGTATTGTTTTTCTCATCCATGGTTGAGTAATAAGAAGTCTCAGCCAAAGTTACCGCATGTTTTCTTTGTTAATTAAGAGACACACAGTTCATCATTTTGATCCATTCAAAGAGCTATAAAAAACTTTGATATAAAATTGGACAAAACATTAGTTATTTTGGTCAGAGTAGTAAAGGAGAGAATATTCCCAACAAAGAAAAGATGGTACTTATGTATCCTGTTTATACATGTTAATTTTTTGTAAACCATTCAATCTATATTTAATTAAACCAACTAAACAACCTGCCTAAAACTCCATCTGTGGCCCGCAAGATCTTAAATTGAAGCTTCTGATGTGTTCTATCAACTCGTATCGCTTTGGTCTCATTACGGAGTCCCACGTTGTGGAAATGTGGATCCCAAAACTCACAGGACAAACTGGCAGTTTTCATGTATAAGACTTACTATTTTATTTATTGGACTGCAAGTAAATTATTTAAAGTTCTTATGTTAAATCGTGAGCCATATATAAGGTTCCTAAACATTATGTTACAACAACTTTTGATAAAAAAAACCATTCTCATATAAACTTCCAATATATGATGGATTCCAGTTTTCTTTCTTAAAGAACACATTGGTGTTCTTAGTTTTCTTGGTTTATTTACCCAAGAACTTAGTGATGACAATAAGAGATAAAACACCCAGTTTAGGTTATCTTACAAAACTTTAGGTTATCCTGATTTTTTTTTATCATAGGTGCCTAATAATGAAAGTTGCTAATTTATCATAGTTGTAGACTCCTGATATTGAGATATTAGTTCTATTTTAGGTTATCTTGAAAACTGATTTATTTTAGCAGCTTTAGCAATACAGATTATTCACATTCATGTCAATAATATGCAGGTCGGATATCTTATCTTTTATTTGCATGGTATATATTTTTAAAGTTACCTTATATCTTTCATTTGCATTGGTGTGCTTTGTTTTCTTGGTCTATCTACCAAAGAATTCAGTGATAACAATAAGAGATAAAATGCAATATGTGGCTAGATTTCATTTTTGGTTTCTCCGGCAAAGATTTCTTAACACATAAATGAAAGAGAAGAGAACTTTACTTGACACGAGTCATGTTCAAGCTGTTTTGTCTATAATCTAATTGTCTATAATCATGATGGGCATTTCTTGAAAAAAAATAAATAAATTTAGTTCCAGCTATAAACTGCATTTTTAATCTATGTCTAATGCCTAACTAATTTTGAAAATTTGATATTGCATGCTAATTGTTTGATATCTTGCTTCACGTAGATGTCTTTTAAAGAACACATTGGTGTTGTTTGTTTTCTTGATTTATTTACCAACGAACATAATGATAACAATAAGAGATTAAATGCAATATGTTTCTAGATTCATTTTTTGCTTCTCCGATAAAGATTTCTTAAATAATCTAATTGTCCATATTCATGATGGGGATTTACATTTCTTGAAAAATTATATTTAGTTTCAAGTATATATAACTGCATTTTAAACCTATTTCTAATGCTTGACTAAGTTTGAAATTTTGGTGTTACATGCTAGATATATTTGTTCGAGTAAATATCTTTCACACATATTTTTGTCAGCTTTAAGAGGTATCTGCTGGAGCTTCTATATATGTATGTCATCACCACTCTTTTTTGTACTGGATATCCGCATTGCTTTGTAGCTGAACTTGATAATAGTAATCACTTCCTAACCTGATTTTGCGGATAAACAATTAAGATAATAGATTTTAAAAAAATGCAGCTTATCAAATTCCTAAATTTGACATTAATTATTTTGAGTACATACTTTTAACATACTACCTCCGTTTTCTTTTAATTGCAACATTGGACTTTTTACATTATTCACATATTCTACTTTGACTATATTTTATTAATTAATGTTTTATAAATTAAATTTTTAAAAAATATCGTTAAATTCTTCTCATTCTAAATTTTCAAAATATGATTTTTTGAAATTTTTTACTAATAAGGAATGAAAGATATTAATGGTCAAACTTGTGCGTTGGCAAACGTGAAATGTTTACTGTTGCCATTAAAAATGAAAGGTAGCAAGTATATTAAGAGGCAAAGAATATTTTTTAACATATATTCGGTTCTTAATTCTTCTTTTGAGTACATACTTTTCACAAATATTAAGAGGCTGAAAATATGTGTTCAATATTTGCTCAAATTTAACATACTTTTGACATCAATATATTGATATTGATATACGTTTGCATCCATCTTTGCACCTCCAACTAGAATATTTGTTGACATCTTTTCAGTTGATAAAGGTCATATTTAGTGTAACCGTCTAAGCTTCATAGTCGTGTGTTATGATGGTGTACTAAATTTCTCTATTACTACTATGTCATTGGAAAGCAACAGAGGTCTCAGGTTAAAACAGTTTGTTGCAAGTTTTCTCTACATGTTCGGAAGTTGAACTTCTTTTCCTCTACATGTTCGGAATTGATTAGAGTATTAGTTTGGAAAACTGCTCACCCTCACTCTCAGTGTCTCAGTACTGATGCTTCTTTTGTTGATGGAAAAAGCGCTGATGATGCTATACTCTGCGATTGAGACGGAAATTTATCTCTGCGCTTTCGTTCCTCTGGCGGTGGGGTCTGTTCTTCAGGCGGAAGCTTGGACAGTGCTAGAAGCTCTGAAATGGTGTCAAAGGATGAGATATGAGAGGGTCCAGATTGAAACCGATTCGGAAGTATTATGCAAAGCTCTCAAAAAATCTACTTCAGCATCCTATCTGGAGGAAATCAGCCGGTTTATTGCTATTCTCCAGGCAACCGTCGTTCATTGTTACAGGGAAATTAATACAGTTGCTCACCTTCTTTCTCGAGAAGCTCTTCAATCGGGCACACATACAGTATTTTCTTCACCAAGCGAACTTTCCAGATTAGTTTTCACGCAGCTATTCCTTGATGTTGTTTTGACTCCTGCCATCCGCTTTTAATGGCGTTACCTCTTTTATTTTATTCATGCTTTTGCCCTCGGAATTGATCAGAATACAGGCGCCTTTGAGTTCCGCTGCAGTTGTCAAATTCTTCACACCCATTTTCAATTTTCAATTTTTTATTCTAATTTCCTTTCAACTTTTTATTCCGCTTTTGCTTATACCTCACTCTACTGCACTATGGATGTTTTTATTTGGACTGTAATTCGTCCCAGACCAGACCAGACCAGACTTGGATAGTTATAAAAATACAAAGAAACCAGACCAGACCAGTTCAGACCAGACCAGATAAGACCAGACCATACCAGCAAATTATAGTCCAAGTAAAAACATCCTATGGCTACAATGTACATTCCATTGCAGGTGTTTTGTTTCCCTCTACTTTTCCTTTTTCTATTTCTTGAGTGCGATTTCTGTTGAAATTCATATCCTCTTTTTTATATTCTTCTTTTTGCTGCACCTAGGCATGTTTGACATCTGTTTGAAAGTATGTCTTCTTCAAATTTAGGTTCAGATTGAGAACATAATATGAATAAGCAATATCAGTGTGCTTTGTTACTTTGTAAGCTCAAATTAATAAAAACCTACTACATCTGTGCATCCACACTTTCATCCCGATGAAGTGTATATAACCAAGAAAGAATCACCTTTAGGGCTGGCCACACAATATGCACATCCGGTCCAGTTCTCACCGGATGACAAATGCTCATCTCAGGCTCTCAGAGAGTTCTACTAAAGTAGCAGTTTGACATGTTACCGACTCAGAAGCCACCTCTGATATTGTCATGAGAAGGTCTTTGGTAAAATGTGTTCAACCTGAATGTTGACACCAAGTCACCAAGTGTTTTCTATGTTTGGCTCTCATAGATGTTTTCTATTTAATGTGTTATGTGTACAATTAAACATTGCAGTTTTGTTAAAATAAATTATTTTGTGGATTCAAGAAATGGTACAATTGTAGGGGCGTAAAAAATTGCTTTAAAAGCTCATTAAGCACAATTTTTCTTAGGAAAGTACTACGTAACTATTAAAATTTATGCAATAAAAAAGAAAATGTTAAAATTTCATTTCATTTATCCCATATTAATAAGTCATGTAACTCTCCAAAGTGTGTTTGGTTGTTTGTGGTACTCTTCTTGGACCAACTCCTAAGTAATTTAGAGTTACTATGATTTAATATGAATAAAGGCTTAATTTGTAAGAATGAACTTATATTTAGTAATATCAAATCACTCTATATTTATTCTATTATCCCGTGCAACGCACGGGTTAAAGACTAGTTAACCGATATTTCGGTTAACCATAAATTGGTTAACAGAAATACGGTTAACCAACCATGCCCACTCCTAATACCAAGTATATACTTTTCTATGTACATATGAAATCCTCCTAACTTATCGATATATCACCGAGAAAATTGCTCCATGCAGGACTTAATCAAAGCAATTTTATAAAAATAGTACATATGTATGTTTCTTCCTTCCGTAAGAGCTATGTAGTTCTAATTTTGAAAACTTGATTTTAAATTTCCAATTTTACCCTTACTGTCTATGTATTGTCTGCTATTTCGAAATTATTGTCTGTTTACTGACTACTTAATGTCTATGTATTGTCCAAATCGTTAGAAAAAAGTAAAGTTCTATTTTTTAAAATAAATTAGTAGGAAAAAAATAAAAATAAAACAGATCTAAAATTTCTAGTCTAAATCGTTAGTCTTGCATTTTGCAATCCAAAATTTGGAGATCTAGAATATAATTTTTCAGTAAGAATCTCAAATGGAAACAAAAGAAATTAATGGAAAATAACAAAAAAATCAAGAAAAGTGAAAAAACAGAACATAAGGCGGAGGACGGGAGAAGAAAGAGGAAAGACGGAGGAGAGGAAGAGAGGTAGAAGAAGGAGAGAGGAGGAGGAGGGGGAGGAGGAGGAGGAGGAGAATGAGAAGAAAGAGGAGAGGAGAAGAAGAAGATATCGGAGATGAACGATCTCGTTTGAAAAGAAGGTTGCCGCCTCTTTGCCGGAGTAGCGGTGCAGCAGCCAGCGCCGATGCTTGGGAAGGCGTTTGGAGAAAAAAGACGTTGAACTTCAATCGACCAATCTTACCCTAATCTATAATTTTAATTTTGGAAAATTAGTATGATTAAGTCCTATTTGTTGAAATCTCCCTATATCACCCCATAGTTAAATTAAGTTTGGGATTCCTCCTAAATGATTATTCAAATAGTTTAACAATTTACGCCATTCAATCAACATGATTTACACCGACCAAACACTTAATGAAACATTATGGCCATAGAGTCATAGACACCTATACTACAAACTTCAATTCTACCTGGTATTACATTCATTTTCCTTCTTCAATTACCTTCCCTCAAAACACATCGTAAAGGTTCTCACACACATAATTGTATAGAACTAAGGTGTTACACGTGTTAAACATTAAAAGGCACATTCCCCACAAAGGGAGCTAAGGGTTGGATGAAGGATTTCACTACAAGTGTATAAGGGTAAATTTTCCCTTGTCATTACCAAAGAGTTCACTCCCAAGTCCCAACCAAAGGCGTAACCAGGATAGAAGGTTGGGTGGACCGGTACAAAGAATTTTTTCAAATAAATTTTCACACATCAATTTTTATAATAAAAATACAGAAAAAAATTAAATTTAGGGTGGCCGGAGCCCGGCTGCTCCCTATCTCTGCCCATGCTCCCAACATTTGAACCTGAGACCTCTCGATCACAATAGTAGAGTAATTGGTTCACCAAAACTCTGCTTCTACGTACTTAAACGTTAAATACACACAAAAATACATCCAAAGGCTAGACACTAAAATTAATTAAATACAGTATATTTTATTTTAAGACAATTACCCTACAGCCACCCACAAGGCCATGATAACCAAACATGCCCCCTCATAGAAAGCCCCACTTCACCAAATCCGCCATCAACAATAACCACCTTAATACGTTATTAGCCTCTCCATCTCTGAATACTATTTCTACGTACCCCTTTACATTCCCAAAGACCGTCCTCCCTTGCCTTCTTGTCATGCATCCATTCCTCTTCTCCCGGAAAACGTCGCCACTACTCCCACCGTCGTCGGCGCTGCTAAGCAACATGAAAACCGGTGGCCGGAAAAACAACAACCTCTCCATCTTTGTGGTGCTTTGCTCGTTTTTTCTCTTCGGATGTTTCATGTATAGCGAGGACTTCAAGTCCATCGCGGAGTTCCCATTCTCTACGCCCAAACCAAATGCAGAAAGCCCAGTCCAAGAAAACAGAGCATCCTCTGTTGGGAAAGTGGAAACAGAGGAAGGAGAAACAGAGCAGCCATTGCAGGGACGTAAAGATGAAGGTGAAGATGATGAGAGCAGTGTCGAGTTGCCGCCGGAAGATTGTGATCTCTTCACCGGTGAATGGGTGTATGATAATGTGAGCCATCCTCTGTATAGAGAGACGGAATGTGAGTTTCTTACCGCTCAGGTCACTTGCATGAGGAATGGAAGAAAAGACTCTCTGTACCAGAACTGGAGGTGGCAACCCAGAGATTGTTCTTTACCCAAGTAAGATTAAATCCAATGCGTCTTCTCCTCTTCTAAAATCAAGTCCATAGCCAACTTTTAGGTTCTACTGTTCCAGTGAAATTGAGAAGGGGAACCGTCCAAACACAATGTGTGTTATCTACTTGGGAAAATGGAAGAAATAGGAGTAAAAAGTTTGAAAATTCTAAAATAAGGCATATTTTTATTCCCAAAAATATGTAGTATGTTATTGCAATTCCATAACTTAAATATTACTACCTCCTTCCCCCTATGTTTGGGACAAAGGTGTTGTGGGATTTTTAAGGAAAAAAATGTGTGATTGGTATTAAATTGATAAAATGTGAATAAAAGTAAGAATGAATTGTAGCCACCCAAATATTACCTGATATGGTATGAGACAAATTTAATGAAACATATGAAAAGTTAAAATGAGGGAAAGTTAGAGGGACGGAGGGAGTAATAAATTTGATGATATAATGATTTGGACTGGTCAAATAGAGTGTGTATACCGTGCAACCGGTATACGGTGAGCACCGTATACCGGGACGGCTTTGTATTTTTTTTTCCTTTTGTTTTTAAAAAATGGTAATAACTTTTTTATTTTTGATCCGATTTTTATAAAATTTATATCAACATTTTTTATTTTTCATGATCTTTCAAATGAGACCAATATTGTCTATGTAATTTTAACATATTAACATTTGTGTGTAAAATATGTAACTTTAAGTGTTAAAATATGTAACTCACGTTTAGTCAAGTCAAATGCAACTCGTGTGTATAAATATAAAATATGTATCTCTACGTGTAACAATATGTAACTTTACGTAAAAAGTATGTAACTCGCATTCAGACAGGTCACATGCAACTCGTGTGTATAAATATGTAACTCGCGTGTATAAATATGTAACTTTACGTGTAAAAATATGTAACTTTACGTGTAAATATATGTAAGTCACGTTCAGACATGTCAAATGCAACTCGTGTGTATATATATATATATATATGTAACTCGCTTATAAAAAGATGTAACTTGCTTATAAAAAGATGTAACTCGCTTATAAAAAGATGTAACTTGCTTATAAAAAGATGTAACTCGCTCATAAAAAGATGTAACTCAATGTATTATCAAATGTAACTGAGGCCACTGATCCACTCCCGAACAGATTCGATCTTCTATTTCACAAACCTATCATCTCTCAAACAGATTCGATTTTTCTTATAATCCAATACTCATTAATATAATAGTTCGATAATTTCTTAAAATTACATACACAATATTGGTCTCATTTGAAAGATCATGAAAAATAAAAAATGTTGATATAAATTTTATAAAAATCGGATCAAAAATTAAAAAGTTATTATCATTTTTAACATCAAAAGCAAAAAGAAAAGGAGATGCTGCGTCGTTTTTGCAACCGGGCGCACCATCCTCATGATGCGCACGTTGCAACATATAATTTGCGGGTCAAATACATGCTCTCAATTATTTATAAAGTACTACAGGAGTGATGTTTTCTAGGGCAATAAAAAGGAGTAACATACTAATCGTGG